TCACCTGCCCAACCATCACTTCTTCAAGAGCAGCTGCTCTGGCCCCGAGCTTGTCCTCAGCTGGGAGCCTAGACATCCGCATCTCCTTGGCATCTCCTTCCATCAGCCCTACAGTATCCCAGGCTCCTCACCACCGCCTGCCCTCTACTTATTCCTGGTCTTGATGACCCAGAGATGATGGGAGGGGCTCTGCAAGGACCCTGGGCCCATTCCAAGGGCAAGCCCTTCCCCTCTGCCCCTGATAAAAGGTCCGAGGCAGAGCCCACCCCCGACAGAAGTCGTCTCTGGTTGCGGCCTTCTATTTCTTTAATGACTTTTCTTTCTGTCAATCATTTACATACAAAACGCATCTGTGGTTCCCCTGCTAAGCTCCAAGATCCTCTAGGACATGACAACGGTCTTTTCCTCTTTTTCACTCTCAGAACCCAGCTCGCAGTTTATAAATATGGGGGTCTGGGGCGGGGCGGGGGGGGAGGCAAGTCCAGTCCTGCAATTTCTTTGCTGTGCAGTGGAAACTCCATGAGTCACTTGTCAGCTGTAGAGAGCTCCTTCTGGCACTAAGAGGCTCTCTCTGGGCCAGCATGTGTCAGGCAGAGCCGTAGATGTGGATCTGGAAGGGCCCTGAGAGGCCGCTGACCCGCACCCTTCATTTTACAGACAGAGAAACTGAGGCACGGAAGGATCGGGTGACTCGCCCAGCTAGAAAGCGTCTTAAGGGAGGCCTTGCCGACTCTTGCCAGGCCAGTCCTGTACTCTTTGCTGGCTCTCCACCGCGGGAGTGGAAGGCACTTTTTGTTCCCTGAACTGAACTGAGCAGAATGACTCCCTGAGCAGAATCCCTCCCCTGGGGTGACCCCGGGGAAGGCTGGGTGCCCAGGGCTGCCCCCAAGCAGATGCTGGGAAGACTCCACATTTGGGGGGCGGGGCGGGGCGGGGTGGGGCCCAGGAGGAAGCGGGATGCCGCAGCCTTCTGTATGGCATCTCCGGTGCCACGTCACCACGGCCCTTGCTGGGCGAGCTGCAGCGAATCAAGAGCTCCACCTAGCGTGAGGCCAGGCCTTGCAGACCAGGCATGCTTTTGGAAGGTGAAGGCGGGTGCTCCTGGATGTCTCAGCACGGCTCAGCCGGGCCGTCGGTGCCCGCGCCCTTCCGCCCTCCCCTCCGGCCTGGCGGCTGCCCCACTTCCACCCCTTTTCCCTGAGCGCAGGGCGGCCCTCCGACAGCCCCTCTGCCCCGGGAAGCTTTCCTGCTGCTGCTGCTCCCTCCCGGTCCTCCTCCTTTCCCAGGCATCGATGCCCCGGTCATTTCTGGTGACAGCAGGGATGGCCCGCTCACGCCCCCGGCGTCTCTCCATCTCCGCCCGGGTCTGTGGAGACCGTGGCACTCTACTGTTGCCTTAGAGTGGAAGCCCCTCGAGGGAGGGATGGTTGGGTTCCGTCTTGGCATCCCGATGCCCACACACAGTAAGAGCTGAATAAATGCTTCGCCTCTCTCCCCTGCCCCTGGCACAGCTCTGGGCACCCGAGGGGCTTAGTGAATTCTCGTTGAGTAGTCACCTAGTCACCTGGACAATACAGCCCTGCTGTGGAGTCCCAGGAAACGTCCCTTCAGACTTGCACAGCTGGAGATTTAACTAGTGAAGGAGGCGGGCCAAACACTTCGGAATCTGAGAAGAAAGGCGGTACCTTCGGCATCTGTGCAGGCCCCCAGGCAGGTTCCAGAGCAGGGTGCCCTGAACCCTGGGCCCAGGCAGTGAAGAAGCCCAGGGACCCCTTCGCAGGCTCAGATTGTTAAATGCGTGGATGTGTTAAAGGCCCAGGATTACAGAGGAAACCATCACATTGGAACAGAGTGATCGATACGCTGTTTGAGACAAGTTCACTGGCCCTAGGTTGAGAGCCTTGCTCTAGAACATGCAGCCTGTGGGCACGCAGAGGGAAATAACCAAGACTTAATTTATTAGACCGGGTCCAAGCAAAGAAACACGGGCTTGTATGGGGAATGCGTCCCCCTTGCGCCTCCCCAGTCCTCCTCACGCTTCAACCACCTGTCCTCAAATGACCTTGATTTTCTCCTCTTCCCGTGTGTCATTGGGGTCCCAGCAGAATGCCAGGGCTTTGTATGCTTGGTGCCTAACACAGTGTCTGGCACACAGCCGGCACTTACTATGTGCTTTTTTTTTTTTAACGGAATTGAGTTGCTTCGGTGCCATTCGTAGGCCAGCTTGGGTGAATTCCTTCTCTCCAGATCTGTGCGTGGCTTGCAGCATTTCAAATGGAAAGGGTACTAAGCCAGGAGTCAACCCCGCATGGGCCTCTGATCTTTGTCTACTCTTCAGCGTCCAGAGCTTTTAAGGAGGAGGGGGGACCGCACTATCTCTAAGGGCCTTCCTACTGCTAAATCCTCATTGTTTGGGCAGCCAACGTGGCTCCAACATGCTGGACCTGGAGCCTGGGCTGGAAAGCCTGCCTCGGACATTTCCTAGGCAAGAGACTACATCTCTGCCTGCCTCTGTTTCCCCACCTGTAAAATGAGGACCATAATAGCATCACCTCCAGGGCTGCTCTGAGGATCAAGTGAGATAATGTTTGTAAAGAGGTTCACTCAGTGTCTGACACATAGGAGGCACTGTATAAAGGTTACTATTATAAAAGGTTATTATATATTATTGTTACTATCATTCTTACTGTGATGGGGAGAGGTGGTGGTATCAAGGAAGCACCGAAAGGTGGGACCCAAAAGAATCCTGATATTGCTCTGGCAGGAGAGAGGGTTTGGAGGTAGCTCAGTGCATCAACAGTTAGCTGGGTGCTTGGTATGCAGTAAGCGCTTAATAAATGCTTGTCATTGACTTGATTTTGGAGGCATGAGGCAGGGGCTGATGCTTTTTAAAGGAAGCAGTCATACAGAATGAAATGATGAGATCTAGCAAGATGCAGTCTGTCAGTCAATAAACACGCATTTAACACCTACTTCGCACCAGGCACAGTGCTAAGTCCTGGGAACCAAAGAAAGGCTTTGCCAGCTAGGGACAGCCTGAGGGTCTCCAGCCTCCGCCTCGGAGCCCATTTTGGAAGCCTCACAGGTCATTCAGCCAGAGGAAGAGGATGGGTGCTGGGAAAAGAAAGACAGACCAGGAGCCCACACCCATCTGCTCAGCCCCAGGCATCCCCAACTTCTGTTCAGAAACCTTCCCAGGGCAGGTGTCTCCCAAACTCTGGGCCTTGTGGGCTCAGGTGGCCAGAAGGGGGAGGCCCCGGACAGAAAGAGAGAGGTTCAGAGAAGGTGCAGCTCTGGGGAAATAGTTCTGTTCTTGACATGTTGAGTTGGAGATGCCCTTGGGACATCCTGGTGGAAACGCCCAGCAAGAAGCTAGAGATGCAGAACTGGGGCTCAGGAGAGAGGTAAGGGCTGGGTATGTAGATCTGGAGTCACCTGCATGGAGGCGGTAGCTGAAATCATAGGAGAGGAGACCAGGAAGAAAGAATGGAGTGAGAGAAGAGGAGAGGGCCTAGGATGGAAGGCTGGAGAGCTCTGATGCTCAGGGGGCAGGATGTAGAGGAGGTACCTATGAAGCAAGGGGCAGGGGAACAATGATGACAGAGAAATGTCCCAAAAACCTAGGGAAGGGGGGGAGGGAAGGAGGGAGAGAGGGAGGGAGAGAGAGAGAGAGACAGAGATAAAGACAGAGAGAAAGAGAGAGACAGAGACAGAGAGGGGAGACAGAGATAAAGACAGACAGAAAGAGAGAGAGAGCAGAGAGAGAGAGGGAGAGAGAGAGAGCGCAGGGGGAGGGGGGAGACAGAGACAGAGAGAGAGAGAGAGAGAGAGAGAGAGAGAGAGAGAGAGAGAGAGAGAGAGAGAGAGAGAGATGGTTAGAAAGCAAAATCCTGGAGAAGAGGGAAGGGGGTGGGGTCAAGGGCGTGAGCCCAGGGCTTGGCCTCGGCCCCCCCTCATTCTCTAAGACTAGAACAAAGGAGGAGGAGATGGGGGGCATTGAAACAATTTACGGGTGAGCGGGGTGGACAGCTCCTGATGGCTGCCTCCCATCTCTCAGGGGCAAGGCTCTCTGCCCAGGCCCTCAGACCAGACCAGGTTTGGTCCCTTCCCACCCCACCGTTGCTCGTGGGGTCAGTGCCGGGCTCAGTGAGGTCCTGGGCCATCTCACCCGCAGGAGTCGACCACTTGACAGCTTCTATTCAAGGCTCTGGTTCTGGCCTCCGGGCCAATGAGCACAGAGGGTCGAAACTCCCTTCCAGGCCTCGGTTGGGGTTGGAATCCTTGGTGACCCTCACGGCAGGCCTCAACCCCTTGCTGCCTCCACCTCTTCAGCTTTAACACGGGGTAACATTTGGACTCCTGTCCCAGGCCTGGGTAAGGTACACGGCAGCTAGACTATGGGCCTGGACTCATAAAGGCCAGAGTTCAAATCCAGCCTCCAGCACCTGCTAGCTGTATCACCCTGGGAAAGTCACTTAACCTTCATCGGTCTCCATTTTCTCACCTGTAAAATGGAGCTAATAATAGCACCCACCTCCCTGGTGCTGCGGTGGGGATCCACTGAGATCAGTTTTGCAAAAGGGCTTTGGGAACCTTAAAGCACTTCAGAAATGCGCGCTGTTGTTATTACTGTTACCATGACTGTGGTGAACAAAGTGCCCTGCAAATCCTAAAACACCAGAGAAAGGTGAGATTGGAGAACAGACCCTCCTGGCCTCATCTCCGCTGCCGGCACCGCGGCCTCTCCCCCTCCAGCTTACGCTTCCTCAGACATGGCCCTGGAGCCAGCAGGGCACTGTGGCCGCGGTCTGCCAGGCCCAGCGCAGAGGGACCACCACTGCCCCGGTTCTTGACCCTGGCCTCTCAGGGCCCCCGGGGCTGCCCTCCTCATCATCCAGCTCTCCTATAGGGATCCAGCTCTTCTTGGGTTTCTGTTGGGTTGCCTCACAGACTCGACTGGAATCTCCCTGAAGGCAGGGCCCCCAACACTGCTTCCCACCTTTTCCTGTTTGATCACCACCATTTATTTACTTAATTTCTCATTACATTTTCTTGATTGAAAGTGCACTACATGATAAACGGTGAGACAATGACCAGAGGGCCATTGGAAAGCTCCATCCCTGGCCTGCAGCATCACCCCATGGATGGCGTCTTCAACGGGAATGATGAGGAAGGAACGAGCGCTTGCGATGCACACCTAAACGACATTCGCCACAAAGTTGCTGGGCCTGATCTTCATGACGACAGACTTCAGAGAATACCACCACCCGTGCCAGGTGTACCAGACGATGCCGTTGTCCGTTTCGCCGGTGTAGGCCCCTCTGTAGTACAGACCGTTGAGGTTTGCCGAGTGACACCTGAGAAGGGAAATGGAAAACACCGGGGGCCTTGAGGAAACCCCCTCCTTCGATGAAGAAATCCTTCCTGGGCCTCTCTGTGATGACACGGCGTGCCAGGCCCGGGGACAGGAGAAAGAGAGGTCCCTGCTTCTGTAAGGGGAGGTGGGAGTGTCCCGGCTCTGTGATCCCATCATGATAAGGACTCCCAGAGAGGAAATTCCCTCCAACACTGCAAATACCCAATGGGTCTGTAACTTGGAGCTCTGGAGGGTGCCTTCCCCAGGCTCACACATTCACTCTAGGTCAGAGGAGGATTTGAACCTGGCTCTGCCTGACTCCGGCCCTTCAGATCAGATTTACAAGTTTCAGGCACAGGTTTGTAATGGCCCCACCAGGTGAACACCATCCCTTCCTCTCATTCTATACTGTCGGCCCCAAATCCCCTGTACCTCCTGAATGCAGGTAGGGCCTGGAGCTAGGAAGACCTCTGGCCTCAGACACTTAGTAGCCTTGGGATGTTGGGCAGGTCACTTAACCTGCCTTTGCCTCAGCTTCCTCATCTGTAAAATGGGGATGATAAAAGCCCCTCCCTCCCAGAGTTGTTGTGAGGACCAAGCAAGTAATATCTGGTAAAGCGGTCAGCACAGTGCCTAGCAAATGGTAGGCGCTATGTAAAAGCTAGCTATAACATTACAGTCATTCTGTTCTGTATTATGCATTATCATTTGGCCCTTATGTGGAGGACTGACTGGAGAAGGAAGGGCCTAGAAGCCGGGGAGGCTGGGAGACTGCTAGGCTTGTCTACATAAGGAGTCAGGGGCAAGCTTGGCCTCATCGGAGCCTACTTTCTCCCCTCCCGTCCTCGTCCTCGGGCTGCTTCACCCTGGGCATTCAAACTCCACCTTTGTACTTTCCCCAGGTCCAGAGCAGGAAGTGGAGGGAGGTCCGCCAGCCGGCTTGGGAATGACCTGAGACTGCCTCAAACCTGCATTTCCTGAATCCTCCTCCCGTTTTCTGCTGACCAGGCTGCTATGTGTTAAAGGGATGGGAGGCAGACTTGGCTTGAGTTCCTGGCTGAGCTGGGCTGTCCTAACTAGATCCAGCTTCCAGGCAGACTCCAGCCCCCTTCCTCTCTCTCCTCTGATAAGAGTTTGCTTGCTGACCATGGCTCACAGAAAGCCCTGGTAAGAGCCAGGCCTCTGCCTCCGTTCTCTTCTCCCTCCTCATCTCCACCCTGGCCTCCTGAACCCCATCTTCTACCACAAACCTTCCCAACCCCCATTAATTCTAGCGCCTTCCTTCTGGACCTTCTCCCTCGAGCCTCATTTCTGGCTCGTTGGGGCCTAGTGGTTGGAAGGGTGTCTTCCCCGCTGGACAGTGAGCTCCCAGGGGCCAGGGTGCTTTCTATCTTCCTACACATCCCCAGCAGTCCCCCAGGGCCTGCACACAGGAGGTGCTTAATAAATGCTTTGTGACCTGTTGTACCACCAGCCAGCTCTGTCCTCCTTGGCACAGTTCCCCGAGTAATTGTCGTTATCTCGGTCTCGAGTGCTGAATTTCATTCGTAGGTGACTGGCCCACCACTGGACCTCAGGATGAAAGCTCCCAGCCAGTGAGTCTCCGGCCGTGCCCGAGTATTCCCGGAAGCTCAGCTCGTAGGCACTCTAACAGGAAGGATTGGCATCCTTAGGGTCTGCCTGGGGCCCAGAGGAGAAAGGACAGCACGGGGTGTTCTGGGTCCCATCAGCGGCTCCCACAGCTCCCTTCCTACCTTCTCACCACCCACCCGGAAGCTTTCATATTGTGCGAAACGGTGTTCTCCTTCAAAGTCAGCCAGCTCGATCTTCAGAGTGTAGTCTCCTGGACAACCAATAAACAGACACCTTGTCCTTGGCCAGCCCCTGTTCTGCCCCAGAACCCGAGGCACAGCTGAGAACCAGCCCGCCCTACGGCTTCTCGGCTCGCCGATGGCTCACGGCTGCATCCCAAGCAAACCCTCCCTTCCTGGACAGCCAGCAGCCACTGGGTGGCCTTTCGGCTCCCGGGGCCACTCTGGCCACTGCTGCCTGGGAGAGTGACTGCCACCCGGGCTACGTCGGGGCGTGAGATCCAGTAGGAACACCAGTGAGACCCGGCTTCTGGGCCTCGCCGCAACCCACAGCAGCACAGCGGAGGCGGACTGGGTCATGTCCTTCCCCTCACAAATATGAAGGGCACAAGGAGACAGGGAAAGACTGAAGCATGGCAGGAGAGCCCCCGCCAAAGTCCTAGCATGGAAGGAGGGTCTCAAGGTTTGCAGGGCACCTTGCCTGTCTCATCTCATTTAATACTCACAGACACCTTGGGAGGGAGGAGCTCTTTCTATCCCCACTTTACAGGTGAGGAAACCGAAGCTCAGAGAGTTTAAGTGGCTTGACCACTGTCACACAGCTAGTGTCTCCAGCAGGATTTGAACTCGTGTTTTCCCAAAAGGAAGTCCAGCCCTCCGCTACACTGCGCTGCCTCTCCAGAGCACAGGAGGGCGTGGTCCACAAGAGATAAAGGAAGTGTGTTCCAGGTCGTCTGCAGGTAGCGACAGGGCAGTCAGTTGCAGGAACCTGGGATGCCTTGCCTAGGGGTCCTTGGAGGACCAAAGCTGATGGGCTATCCCAGAGGGTTGAGCCAGGACCAGCGGGGAGGCGGGGGAGCTGCACAAAAGGCCAGGTGAGGCCGGCTGGATGTCAGGGAAACCTTCAGAACGAGGAAAGTTGGCTTCCACATTCTCAAATCACAACTATTGAGGGCCGGGGCCCTGGACGTCTGCAAGCCCTAACTGAGTACGCTACGATGGGACCCAGATGACCCGGGTTTAAATCCTGCCTCAGACGCTTAACGGTTGTGTGATGCCAAGTCACTTTTCTCAGGGACTCAGTTTTCTCATCTGTAAAATGGAGACAGCACCTATAGTTGCTGCCTCACTAGGTCATTGTGAGGCTCATGAGACAATAGATGTCAAGGGCCTCATAAACCTTGAAACACGAGAGAAATGGGGGCTGTGAAGGAGAGAAGTTCTGTGTCAGGCGTGGGGTGGAGGAGAAGGCTCCAAGGCTCTGCTCTTCACCTGTGCTGGAGTCTCCGGGAGCAGTCTGTGTTCACATAGATGTTCGCTTTGGCATGACTTTCTATGGAATATTCATTTTATAGGAAGAAAAAAGAAAGCCATGGCCACAGCCGGTGCACTCACACACCAGCATCTGGGCTGCACCCTCTCTCTGTCTCTCTCTCCTTCCCTCCCTCACTCCCTCTCTCTCTCTTCTTTCTCTCTCTCTCTCCCCATTTCTCTGTCTCTCTTTCCTTCTCTCCTCTCTGTCTCTCTCTCCATCTCTGTCTCTCTCTCTCTCCTCTCCTCTCTCTCTCTCTGTCTCTCCTTTCTCTCTCTCCCCTTTCTCTCTCTCTCCTTTCTCTCTCTCTCTCTCTCTCTCTCTCTCTCTCTCTCTCTCTCTCTCTCTCGATCTCTCTGTCTGTCTCTCTCTCTCCTCCCTCTCTCTGTCTCTCCCCCCCCTTTCTTTTTCATTTGTTTGGGGTCTTTTAAACTAGACATCCAGAAAAGTCTTCTTTCTAAAGTCAGATGTTTCAGAGCCAGCCCTGCTCCTTCAGAAACACCTTACTGTCCAAGAGAACAAAAGGGCTGAGCCCAAGCAGAGAGGCACTGAGGCCCTGCTGGGCTGGTTTCCAGGGACCTCATTTCATGAGGAAGCCAGTAAATGGAAGCAGCTGCTTGAGGCTCAAGGAAGGGGCGGGGCTCCAATGGCCCAGAGTCCAGAGAGGACCGGAGGCAGAGGAAAAGAAATCCTGGGGAGGGCAGGGCCTTGAGCAGCCACTTCTCCTGGGACTCAGAGGCTCAGGACTCAGCCAGGCTTTCAGGGCTGCTTACCAGTCCCTTTGGGCCCAGGGCTGGCTGCCGGCCAGTGGCCAGTCACAAGGCACGAGGCACAGGGAGCTGGGCTTGGGAGCTATCGGACGTGAGCCAAGTCCGTGGCCTTGCTCTTTGCAGAAAGGCCTAATTCAGGTTAAGAAGCAGGATCAGGCCTCCGAGGCCCGAACAAGCCCCTGGGTGCCGGCGTCCTTCGTTCTCCAAGAGGACCAAAAGGACATTGCTATGTGGGAGTCCAGTGTGCCCTGTCCAACCGTGGCTGATCAGAGCGATCTCAGCAAGGAGGCCGGGAGCAGTGTGAGGGCGAGGGCCCAGCCCCCCACACGTGGGCACCGAGGGCCAACATCAGAGAGGCCCTGCCCCCAAGTCCCTCCCTCATGGGGGACCCGAGAAAACAGGGGCTTCTCCTGCCTACAGATGGAGGGGCAGGGGACAAGGAGGGGCTCCGGCTGAAGGGCCCCCTCCCCCCCTCCCTCCTACCAGCCTTTTCTTTCTTTTATTCTTCCTTTCTTCCTGCTGTCCTGCTCCCCCATCTCTCTTTGTTGCTCTGTCTAGCTAGCTCGGTCCCTCCGTTTTTGGGTCTGGCCCTGGTTCTGGCCCCCTTCCCCCCCCCCCCCCCCGCTTTTCTGTCTCTCTCTTTCTGCCTCTCTCTGTCTCTCTCTCTGTCTCTGTCTCTCTCTCTCTCTGTCTCTCTCCTGTCTGTCTCTCTGTCTCTCTCTCTGTCTCTCTCTCTGCCTCTGTCTCTCTCCTTCTCTCTTTCCTTTCTGCTGACAGTCATCAATCCCCAACTGAAAAGGGAGCATAGCCAGGCATCCTCCAAACACCTTAAAAGTTTCACACTACCGGAATTTTACATCGACCAAGACAAGGTTCCCCCACGGCCCTCTTACGTTGGGCGGTCAGGAAGTGCAGGTTTTTATTCCCAAGCCAGTACTCGCCATGTTTTTTGACAAAGTTTCCAAAACCTTTTTCATAGTCATCCCAGTTCCTGAGAATCCAAGGGAAAAGCAAAAGTGGCTGTCACCTGCCTCCTTGTCCAGCCCTTTCTCACCTTCTTCCCCCTCCCAGCTTACGCTGGTGATCCCAAAGCGCTTTCATACACCTAGGAATGTTGTTATTCCCATTTCACAGATGAGAAACTGAAGCCCAGAGAAAGCGCTGACTAACGTAAGGTCACAGAACACATCAGTGCCAGGGCAGGATGAGAACCCCGTTGTCTCTGCCCCTAAGCCAGGCCTTTCCCATTCTCCCTAACACACCAGGGCCCACAGCTCTCTGCCCTCTTGGTCACTCTGGGCAACAGGTACAAGGTCCTCAGGACTTTGTCTTAACTGGAAAGGGGGAGCTTCAAACCCTCATGGGCCGTGGAGTCCAGTCAGAGAGCTGAGCGGTGCCTACCGCTCTACACAGAGCCTGCAAGCCGCCGCTCAGGTACCTGTCAAAGTTTTCCGAGCCATCGGAGCGCCTCTGCACCACCGTCCAGCCTCCTCCGTCCGCCATGTCACAGAAAGCAGAGAACTCTTCGGGGCTCTGCAGGGGCTTGATTCTGTAGAAACCGCTGAGTCTGTGGCCATCATTGAACACCTCCGAGCAGTCTGTAGGCAAAACACCTGTCAGGAGACTCCCAGCCCCGCCTTTATTTGGAATGCAAGTTCCTGAACCCCAGGTTACGCATCTGGAAAGTGTCCCAGGTGGGATTAGAATCCCACTCCTCCAAGCTCCGTTGCCTGCCCCAGACTGTCTCTTATGGACAGATCTGCATGCTGTGCATTTATCTTAAGGGTTAGCTCCGAGAGAGCAGGGAATAGAATGGGGCCTGAAGGAGGTGCAAGAGACACACTAGGGACTGAGAACGTGCTTCATGGTTGGCTGCCGTCTGTGCTGAGTGACCGTGGAGAGGACAGAACCTTGCCCACGCCCCACCACGCACTGAGACTGAGACCAGAGCGGAGCGGAGGGAAGGCTGGGGCTCGCTGACCTGCGTACTGCCTCCGTCCCCCAAGGCGGGGGACGCTCTTTTCATCTCCTCGCTCGAGCAGCTGAAGCTCTTTCTCCTGGAGGAGCTGCTCGATCCTCACCCGCTGCTGCTTGACCTGGGCCTCCAGGAGCCTCAGCTGGTCCTTGAGCCTCTGCTGCTCCTGGAGGCAAGTCTCCAGAGCCTGGAGGGAAAGACAGACAGGCTCTCTCTCCACTGGCTGACTCGATGGAGCCGGCCAGCCCTGATGTCTTCTACCTCCCAGGGGCCGATACTCCTCTTCCCTGGGCTCCGGCCATTCTGGCCGGGTGGCCGGGCTCAGCCTGGGGAGCACTCAGTGAATCCTGCCCAGGGATGGCACAGCCACAGCTCAGGAAGTGTGCTGCCTGCTGGAGCATGAAGGGCTCCGACTAGTGTCTGGGCCAGGGCCGCTCACCTGTGCCGAGGAGAGCCCAGGCACCCGTCATCCCTTCAGCCTCCCATGTCCACGAACACATGTTGTCCTGGACCCCTGCTGCTCTCTGACTCCTTATATCCAATGCACTGCTGGACCTTGCCACAGCATCTCATACTCAAACCAATCTGACCACGTAACTGCCCTACTCAGTAACTCAGATCGTTTTATATCCAGGACCGAATCATAGAATCAGAGTCAGGGCTAGAATGAAATGACCTTAGAGGCCTTGAGTCCAACCCATAAATGAATAAGAATTCCCTCTCAAATCTACAAAAAGAAGTCATCCCACCTTGCCTTGAAAATCCAATGAAGGGGCACCTGGGCCAGCCCTTCCCACTTTGTGGGAAGACTCAGTTTGCCTTTTTATAACATTCCCCATGATCCCGGTCCTGCCTTCTCTGGCCACACAGACTAAGCCTTTCCAGTAGTTAAAAACCGACCATGTTCCCTTCGAGTGTTCTCTCTCCCTGGCTTCCTTCCCACCTTCCACAGGAAGCCTCTCTCCACCTGCCTTGAGGTCAATGCCTTCCCTCAGTGGCTCTCCAGTTTATCCTGAATATAACTTGTTTGCATGCTATTGCAATAAAAATGTGACCTCCTTGAGGGCAGGGATCCTGTGTTTGCCTGCAGCACTTAGCACACTGGCTGGCACACGGCAGGTTGTTGACGGTACACCTGGGCAGGGGAGCACCAGGCCGCAGTACTCTTCTCTTCTGCCTCTGCCCCTTACTGGCCGCTGTCATGTGATTACTTCTGTGGCTCTACTCTATCATCCTCTGGAAGGCAAGCAGCTGCTTCCTCCTCAGAGCGCGGAGGAGCTCTCCCCTCTTCGGGAGGAGTCTCCAAGCTGTGTTTTGGGGTATCTGCGTGCTCCCTCCCCCTCTTCCTTCCTCTTCTCTTTTCCAGGACTTGCTTCTGTCCTCAGGTCACCTTCCCCTCTGCCCTTTCCAATCCCCTTCTGGTTCCTTTGAGGAATGCTTTGTTACCTCAGTAACCCGGAGGGTGAAGAGTCATTCCCGGAGTCCCTTCACCTTCTCCTCAAGGAGGAAGGGAGAGCTGTCTACACTTGGAACTTTCCGGTTCTTGTTTAGGATCAAAAGGCCATAGTCACCAAGCAAAGCAAGTGAGTGCACAAGCCCTGCCTGCTGACGGGTCCTCGGCTCCCCACAGGGGCGTGTAAGAGCTGGCTCGTGCAGCTGTGAGAGCTGATTGCGAGCTTTCCACAGTGAGCATTGAAACCTCAGCAGTGAGCAAATCCCACAAACTGGGGCTCGGCTTTGTTGATTGGCCTGACTTAAGAAGGTAAAGGGGGAAATGCTAATGATGCAGATTAAAATGGTGCATCCAATGGTTGTGTCTTGTTTGAGAGTCCGTTAAACATTTACCAGCACATGCCTGGCTTCGGGTCATTTGAACTTCACTTCCTAAGCACCTCCTTAAGAATTCTGTAGTCTTTGAACATTTCTGGGTGCACACTGGGCCTGGAGTCAAAAGGGCCTGAGTTCAAATCCGATATCAGACACTTCCTAGCTGTATAGCCCTGGCCAAGCCACGTCACCCTGTTTGCCTCAGTTTCCTCATCTGTGTGAAATGGGCTGGAGAAGGAAATAGCAAACTACTCCAGTATCTCTGCCAAGAAAACCCCAAATGGGGTCACGGAGAGTCAGACATGACTGAACAACAGTAACCTGACAAAGACACTCAGCTTCCTTTGCTTTGCTCCAACACCAGCCCTAATTCCTCCCCACTTTGGGAGTAACCCCTTTTTTGTTTCACCTGCTGTCTGTTACCAGTTTGTTTAACTTACTAATTGTTCTGCTGACTATCTCACCTTGCCAGCCACCTTTCCCTTCTCCTTCTCTGAAGGTGGTGTTGTTCAATCGTTTCCAATCTCGTGCTACTCTTCGTGACCCCATTTGGGATCTTCTTGGCCAAGACACTGGAGTGGGTTACAATTTTCTTCTCCAGCCCATTTCACGGATGAACAAACTGAAGCAAATAGGGTGAAATGGCTTAGTGTCTGAGGCCAAAATTGAACTCTAGATGATGGGTCTTCCTGACTCCAGGCCCAGCGCTCTGTGGCCTGGGTCACCTGGCTGCGCCCCTCTCTCCAGGTCCTCACCCTTTCTTCTCCTTAACCTTCTTTCACCAGAAGCCGTAAGGAAAGTCTAGACCTGCCTGGAGAACGTTCTCCTTCCAGACTTCCTCAGTTTCTCTCGATTTCACCTCTTCCTATTCAGTCTCTGGCCCTGTCACAAATCCAAACTCCTCCGCATAACCTTCGCACTTTCCTGCTCTTTCTTCCCCAGCTCAAGCAATCCCTCTTCTCCGGCCCCTCTGACAGTGACCATCCCATCCGCTTCACTGGGTTGGACTGAATGAAGCCTTTGCAGAGATGAGTGAATGGGAGCAGCCACAGCCGCCCCAGTCTGGCCCCAAAACGCTTTGCTGAACTCAGTTATGCGGCCACAGAGCAAGCGGCCTCCTTATTTCACCTGACTCTCAGAGCCACTCTGAGATGAACCAGCCAATAAAAAAGCCCTCACGAAGCCCCAAGATTTGTGGGCGCTGAGCTGAGCAAAGACAAGCAGACACAGCTGTCCTTGCCCTCAGGGAGCGTACATTCCAAAATGAGAACAAGAGTTAGATAGGGGAGATAGAGGTAGGGGCAGAGGAGGAGGAGGAGGCTAGAACACACAGCTTGGACTTTCCCAGGAGATGGCGAGGTATGTTCAGAAGTCAAAACTCAGCCATCAGAGAGCCCAGAGTCCCAGGAGAAGCATGTCTGAACTCCTAGGAAAGGAAGGTGCGAGGGGCCAGCTTGGAGATGGCCAGGAAGGAGATGGTGCCTGGAGCAGAAGCTTTGTTAGCCCATTTTAGAGCGGAGGAAGCTCAAGTCTGCAGCCACACTGCCAGTAAATTCTAGAACCAAGAGTAGGACTCAGATCTCCTGACCTTCTCTATGTCGCCCACTGTGCTTCTCTGAGAGCAAAGATTCTCAGCAACGAGGCCCCTTGGGCTTTCTGTTGGGCCCATGAGCTCACGGAGCACAGGGACTTAAGGTGCTCGATCAGAACTCTATCTCTCCCGGCACACAGCAGGAGGATTTGCTGAGCGAATGAATGACTGAAGGCCAGAGACAGCAGATTCCACATCCAATCCCGTGGGTATGCCCAATAGAAACCTCACCCAGCTTCTCCAGTCCATCATCAAAGTCGCTGCAAGGATGACGCTGAACCACTTCACCATCTTCGTGCTGGAAAAAAAAAAGCGCCATGAAAAGAAAACGAACCCAAGATTCCCTCTCTGAGGCCAGCGCTGGCTCCAGCTCTGCCGGGGTGAGGAGTCTGACTCCAATCTGGTCCCCTCTAATTGCGGGGCCTCCTGGGCCATTCTGGCTGGCCTGCCCTGGGAGAAGGGCTGGGGACAAAAGGGCAAAATCGACCCTCCCAAAGACTTCCTTGCAGCCTGCCGCTGGGAAACACTGTTTCTTTCTAACACGTGTCTGTGGTTTCTTTGATATGGGCTTGTGTTGATAAACCATTAATGGGGAGTGGCTGCTATTCTCTAAGTTTGGGGAGGTTGAGACTGAGGCAGAAATTACTCCAAGAGAAATGGGGGCTCAAGCCAAGTGAAGAGAAAGTTCGTCATCCATTAGTCATTTCTGGGTCTCATCCAGAATATCTGCCCCTAGACTACCAGTGAACCTGGAGCGAGAGGGAGGGTGGAGACAAGCCAGAGGTGCAGGGATGTAGTACTGCGTGTAGCCTAGCACCCCATCACTCACACACATACACACTCACACTCTCACACACAGCACCCTATCACTTACACACACACACACACATACACACACGCACACATACACACAGCACCCTATCACTCACTCACTCACACACACACACACATATAGCACTATGTGTAACCTAGCACTCCATCACAGACACATACTCACATGCACACACACACATAGCACTACGTGTAACCTAGCACTCTATCACAGACACACACACTGCACCCCATCACACACACAGACACACACACACGTAGCACTATGTGTAATCTAGCACTCTATCACAGACATACACACACAGCACCCCATCACACACACAGACACACACACTCACACACACGTACTTTATCTACAGAGCTGCTTTGATGGCTGAATGGGGGGAAAGCAGAAAACTACCCTTGAGGAAGAAGAGGCCCCATATCCTGAGGCCCCTGGCCCAGGCTGATGATGGGGCTAGCCAGCTTGGACGAGTTATCTCTAAACTAAAGCCAACAAGTCCATTGCCAGTATTCTCCCACACACAAAGCCCCCAGTGCAGAGACAAACGGTAGGCCTTACCCACGGAGACTCTCCAAGAGTCAGTGGGGCGGCGCAGGCTTCCCACAGGCCTCCTTCCTCCTGGATCAGGACTCCTCGGTGGGGCAGCTGTAGGGTCTCCGGCAGCTGGCTGCACCCCGTCAGACACAGATCCAGTGAGCACGGGCGGTGCCTGTAGACCTGCCCTGGAAGAAGGGGAGCAGAGGACCCTGGCTGCCATCCAGGAGTCAACATAAGAAAGCATCGATTTACCTGCAAGAGAGACCCACGGAAGGCCTTTGGTCCGGGTCCCAGTGATCTGATGTCCACATGCTAGGCCTTTGTTCAGACTTCATCAGAATGTGAACTTTGGTTTTCTTTCAACAGACTTTTGTTGCTGCTGTTTTCAGGAATGCCTGGATCAATTTTGATGACCGGATGTGGACTCAGATCTGAATGACCAGCACGCCAGCCTCCTTGTTTTTACGGATGAGGCTGCAGAGGGCCAGATCCCTCAATAATGAGTGAGGTCACCAGGCGAGGGCAGGCAGGCAGGGGCCCAAGGCTAAGGCTCCAAGCCCCAGCCCATCTCCTGCTCTTCTCTAAGCAAGGAGAAAGGCCCCAAGCTGGACCAATCTCCCACCAACATTAGGCAGGAGCAAATTAACAAGAGTTGTAGCCCCCATACTAGGAAGGCAGAGATCCTTCCTGCTAAAGCTCGAACCCTGCCCTTGAGCTCCCAGAACCCCCAAGTTCCTCGATCTGGTCACAGGCCCCATCGCTCCATCTCTCCCCAGGCTTTCCCGCTCCCCAACCTGCACTCTGCTCTCCCTGGGACTTCCGCTCAAGGGGGTGCTGGCGTCAACTCAGACCAGCCAAGAGCCGACTGTTAGATGTTCGGCATTCAGAAACCCAGACTGCTATGAATCAGCTATCAGTCATGGAGGCACAGTTCTGTTGATTGTCTAGACTTAGGAAAGTGATGGGGAAAATGTCAACAAGTCAGATTAAACATAAAGGGTGTCCTGGATACATTTTTTTCTGGAGAGCCAGTTGTTAAACATTTGCCAGCATATCCCTGCTTCTAGTTCCCGTTTGCCCTCAGGCCAGGCCATGCTGCTGTTCTTGATCTGTTCATCTGTTCTCTTCCCTTCCCCGCCTCACCTGCCCCACTGTCCTGGTCACTGCCTACATCCTACGTTCACTTACATCCAAACACCAGCGGGAGGTGCTCACCCTCTCTGCCCTCCTCACTCCTCCACTCTTATTTGTGCTGCAGGGAGCTGGAGGAAGTCCCTTATCAAAGCACACAGAGGGGGGACCGGCCAATGCACCATCTTGGAGTATGTGCAGATCTGCCCTTCCCAGTTCTAGTTAAATGTGGGAAGGCTCAGGGGGACACTCCTGGCTCTGGGAGAGGCTGGGCCTGAAGTGAGAAGCCTGAAGACCTGAAGGCCTGGGTGGCACTGAGAAGAAAATTCTTTCCTGGTGTTGAGACAGGACAGAATTGCAGCAGCTGCCCCTATACCCACCCAGCTGCCACGTGGCCACGAACACATGGCGCTTCCGTGTCTTCTGTGTGGGAACTCCCTCAAAGCCATGAGGGGCCCAACCAGCGACCACAGCCGGTGAAAGCCAAAGCCTGGCATGGAACTGGTGCTTCAGATGATTGACATGCACAGATGACCCTGCTGGGAAGGGCCTGGGAACTTAGAGCCTACAAACACGCAGCCTAGCAGAGCAAGGGGAGCAGCTGGTGCACGGCCAGCACCTCACTCTGGAGCTCAGAGGTGGAGGCTCTGCAAAGGGAGAAGAGGACTCCCAGGGCCAGGAGCCATGGGGTACCCCTGGACCCGTCTGTTGTGGACCTCACTGCTTTAAGGTTGAGTCAACTCTCCTCATGTGTGTGTAAAGGCAGAGTGCCTCCTAATTCGGGGACATTGTTTCGTAACAAATGTTCTTACTCAGAAAATATGCTTTTGTAAAAACTCATTGGTGTTAACTGGCCGATTGATCTTGGGAAGCACACCAGGTGGGGGCCTGTGTTAGAAGTCATGTTAGAAGTCACAGCTCCTCAATATCGCCCCTAGAAGTTCCTAGAGGAGACATACTCTGGACCAGTGCAAATTGGGAGAGTGAAGCCAGAGGCCATGTTATGTATGTTATTATATTAGAATTATATGTTATTAAATACATTAGAATTTTTAAAAAAAATTTAAATAGCAAATAAGCTTTGGATTTAACATACACCCTCAAAGTGGGAAAGAGTGGAGGAAAAGGTAGCGAACATCACAATCGTATCTGCTCTCTTTCAGGGGCAAATTCAGCCCTGGCCGGTCAGGACCCGCCTGCCTGTCCTCCGGACCTCCCGCTGCCCCTTGGCACTGGGCCAAGGCCCAGCCAGCAGAGGTGAGGGTAACCCGGCCCCAGAAGCTCTCATCTCTCTCAGTTCCATTCTCTCTTTTTCCCTTCTTAAGACTTGAGCCCCGGAGTCCCAGCTCACTTCTCTCTCTGGGGACACTTCTGCTCCCTCTTCCTTTTTGGATGAAAAGAGAAATGACTATTTTCAGAGAAGTCCAGACTCAGTGTTTCCAAGGGGTCCCACAGACAAGCCCTGAAGACTTGACCTCTTTCTGTCAGCAGATCTGGTCTCTGATGACGGCTGCATTCATGTAGATGTACACGTGTGCAGCCGTTAGACTGGGAACTCCCTGAGGACAGGCACTGCTTTTGTTTCTCTTTGTATCCCCAAGCCACACACAGTGCCTGGCATGTTAGCAGGAGCTTACGAAGTACTTGGTCATCAGCAGATGTGGCAGAGACTGGCCCGAGGGGAGAGGCCTTTTCTTTGACCACACTGAAATGCAGAAATTGCTGCGAGTACCACCATGACTTTAATGAACCCCTGCAAAGAACCCTTACCGCAGCAAGAGGCGGGGTTTAATGGACAAGACAGGAGGAGCTTCCTTAATCACCTTCTGCATCTTTTCAGTCAGTCGGAACATCCGAGTCTGGCATGTTCTCCTTTCTGACCCCTTTGCTACTGTTTGCAGTTTGTTCTGGGGCTGCCAGCGATTGACTCCAGTTCCAGGAAGGTCGGCAGGCTGTGTTTGCTTTTGCCTTCCCCTTTCCCAGTGTCTGGAATCCAGCCCTGGCCGCGTTTGTCTCCGCTGCCATCACACGCTGTCCACGGCTCCGTCGCTCGGGGGTCAGCAGGCAGCTCATGGAGAACATGGACCTGGTCTTCCTAGTGGATGGGCACACATCGAGTCAGCGGGGCGAAGGCTGTGAATGCTGACCACCAGAAACGGAGCAGGGGAGCGATTATCTGCAGAATTCAAGCCCAGAACCAGACAGAAGTCATGTCTTGGTATGATTGCCTCAGCTCCCCACTCGTCCCAGCTGAAGAGCAAGCTTGATTTCTTAGTCTAGTGAGCCAGATTTCACATGATGGGAAACTGGTTCCTACAGAACCCTCAGAGGAAGGCTTGATGGGGGTGGGGTGGGGTGGACGCACCCTGGAGTCACACAGGACAAGGGGGTCTACAGGGGCTGCACTCTGCCTCTGAGAGAAAATCCACCCCCTCAAGGATGCGCCCTGGCTACCACACCTTCCAGATGCCGCTCCATTAGCCTAGCACACTGGAAGTCTGTAAAACATTAGTAAGTAAGCGGCAACATCTACTTGAAAGAAGAAATGAGGAATTTTGGCCAAAGTTTCAAATCAATTCAATAAAGTTATTAAATACCTACTATGGCCCAGGGCCTGCGGAAAGAGAGAAAAAACCAAGAACTCCTGCCCTCGAGGAGCTTCCATTCTTATGGGGGGTGGGGTACAAAATGCACCCAGACAGTTAAGCAGAAGACAAACCTAGGAGGACATGAGCACCGTTAGGGGAACCAGGAGAAACAACACAATGACACTGATACTCCCAAGAGTCACAGCTTATCAACAACACTGACCTCAGTCCTTCCAAGTCATCGTCTGATGGCCAGCCTTGACCTGGATTTGTCTTGGGCTTGGAAGAAGTCTTTTGCCCAACTTCCCAGAGCCAATTCCACTAGGCAGGGGATTCCCAGGAAATCTACTGAGGTGGTTGTCAAAATGGGATGAGGCTTCATTCCAGTCCTGATTCACTTCACGAGGTTCACCATGTTCCCTTAGTAGCTAAAACAAGGCTAAATTCCAGAACACCCCAGAGCAAAGCCTCAGAAAGGACCCCATGTACTTTCATTGCCTTCCAACCAGGAATGTCTTCTGTCTACACTCCTTGCCAGGGGAAAAGCCTGCTGTAGTGGGAGATCTAAAAAGCTCCCTGGGGTGGGCAGCCGGAGATCCCTCCAGCCCTGCCCAGGCAGCCTCTGGCTTTCTCTTCTTGGTCTAGTCTTAGGATGGAACACGAAGGTCACCAGATCCGATCCCCTCTACATGTGCCAATGAGAGCCCATCCCACCTCCCAAGGCAGCCCCTCCATCTGCTTTGGGACATAGTTAGGGAGGTTTCTCTGACTTCCAGCATATCAGATCTAGGGATCAAACAAAAACTAGAGAGGATCCCAGGAAGTAAAGTGGATAAGTTGGATTGTGTGAAATTGAAAACATTTTGCACAAATCAATGTAGCCAAGATTAGAAGAAAAGTAGAAAATGAGGAGGGAGGAGAGATTTTTACAGTAAGTTTCTCTGATAAAGGCCTCATTTCCCAAATACGTAGGGAATGGAGCCAGATTTATAACAGTAAGAGCCGTCCCCCAATTGATAAACAGTTAAAGGATATGAACAGGCAGTTTTCAGAAGAAATCAAAGTTAGCAATAGTCATGTGGAAACAAATGCTCTAAATCACTAATCATTAGAGAAATATAATTTAAAACAACCCTAAGGTACCACCACATACCCATCAAATTGGCCAACATGATGGAAAAGAAAAATTGCAAATGCTGGAGGGGATGTGGAAAAATTGGGATGCTACTGCATTGTTGGTGGAGTTGTGAACTGATCCAACCATTCTTTAGAGCAATTTGGAACTATGCCCAAAGGGCTATCAAACTGTGTATACCCTTTGACCCAGCAATACCAAAAGGATAAAAGAAAAGGGAAAGCTATCTATACAAAAATATTCACAGCAGCTTTTTGTGGTGGCAAAGGATGCCCATCCATTGGGGAACAAGTTATGGTGTATGATTGGGGTGGAATACTACT